CAATCAACCTGAAGATCTAAACAACAGACCGGTTGCTCAACGCAACATTCCAGGGCCTAAGACAAACTCTGTTGTGCTCCCTCACCAGAGGAGGGTGGGGAGTGGGGAGTGGCGGAATGAGTGAAGCACAATGAGTGTATGGCAGCTCCCCCCACCTTCTCTCCTGTAAACCAGACAGGAAACACAACTAGATGGGCTAATTCTACTTTCTTATAAAGTAACAATAGCAGAATCTTGCCAGTCTGGAGATATAAATTTCCCAGCACCACTTTTAACCACCTGATCAACTAGGACAGGTCTTTCCTCTGACTGTTCAGTCATGGAGGGTTTCTGCCTGTCTTGTCTGATTGTTTCGGGGCAACATCTCTTCCCCTTGTGCCCTAAGGTCAACAAGGCATTGTATTACAGCGTATGTCAGGAGCATATACATATAAGTGTACACACAATTTGAGGCGGACTGGGACTTTATTACTCAGGACATGAAAAGAAGGAATGGGGTTCCTCTTATAGCTAGAACAATACAATGAAATTAATGTATCAGTTAATATCAGTTAGGCTTTGTGGAGAAGCCTTTAACATGAAAGGCTAGGCTCTAATCATCCCTAATGTAGAAGAAGAGGCCTTTGATGAGTTTTACGACATCGTTATAATTGGAGACTGGAATGCCAAAATTGGAACCCTTAAAGAGGAAACTCTTCTCTTTGCACCTCAGGCAGACCCAGGCCCTCCCTTACCCACTTGGTAGCTGCAGGCCCAGGCCCCTCCCTCACCCTCTTCTGAACTGCAGACCTGTACGGCTTCCATACAGCTCTCTGACTGCCAAGCCAACAGGTTTCTCCTTTCGCTGGGGCAGGGCGGGGGTACCTGAAGATGGCAGTGGGAAGAAAGGAACACGGCAGCCTCCTGTCTTTCACAGCAGTCTCTGGTCTGGAGCCAGGTGACCCACAAGTCGGGGATACGAGGGTGGAGGAGCGCCCCCCCGTGAGCTTGGCGAGAGGGAAGTGCAGCTGCTGGGGCGGCCCTTGGGGGCTGCAGCGAGCAAGGCTTCTTGGGGAGAAATTGTTCCCAACCCCCGAAGTGGGGAGGGGCTTTCTTGGCTGACAGACAGAGTCTATCGGCCCTCCCCTTTGGCTGCCTGGTCTGTTGAAGGCTGAGCCGCTGCTCGAAGGGAAGGCCAATTTGCGCCCTGCCCGGTCTGCGTTCCAGCATAGAAAGAGACTCGCCCCAAAAGGCGTCAGGGTGGGAGCATGACTCCAGCCCTCCCCGGGAGTCATGCCGCCCTCCCGGGGGGGGGGGGGGGGGGGGGGGGGGGGAAGGCTGGCGCCGGGGCTGCTTGGCGCAGCCGGCATGGTGAAGTTATTCCAGGCTCCACCAACAGTAGCTGTTGTGGGAGGGCGCGACACGGCCACGCTGAACAGACCGGCCAGTACCGAGCCTAGCGCGGTCTAAGCGCCAGGCTCGGCGAGAACCGAGCGGCAGCCCCTCTCGCTCGGGAAACTGCGGGCCGGACAGCTGCGTGCAAGGAGAAAGCTGCCCGTCTCTCGGTGCCTTTCAGCTCCTTGCTGACAGGATCTTGTACGAGTGGGGCAAGGGCCGGTGATCGAAGCCACGCCTCCGCGGGGAAAGGTTGCCCGCTTGGAGGTGCGGCGGTGGGTGAGTGGGTGTCCAGGGACTGGTCCTGTAACTTAGGAGAGGCGCGCAAAAGGCACGGCGCGGTGCTTTTCTATAGTCTCGCCCGCCCAACCTTGATGCTATCCGGGAGTGGTTCGGTTATTCGGACAATGCGCAATTAATCTTTTATTTTTCATTCGTTCATTATTTATATACCGCCCATCTCGCTGTTTGGGGCGGCACTCATCGGAGGCTTTAAAGCTCTCAGATAAGTTCCTGGTATCAGAAGAATTAATTTATGTCGCGGCCGTGGATTTAAATTTTGTCCCGACCGTAACGGGGACTACATTTTATAAATTATGTTGAATCGGCAATATCGTAGACGGCAGCCTGGAGGGTTCCTCTTTCTTCTTCTGGAGGCGTGGGGGTGGGAGTTAAAATTATAAAATTATAAACTGCCACGAAACGGTTGTACCCCGGCTGCAGTGACCCAGTGGAGTATCCAGTCAAGGGTGGGTGAAAGGGCTGCTGCTGCTGCTGCAGCATCTGGGACCCAATCCGGCCTCAAGAGTAGCGCTGCCATTTACAAAGAGGTTCACCCAGGATGTTGGCGTGGACTCTTAAGGAAGCAGAATGCGAACTGCCTGGTGTGTCCGTGACGCGGGAAGAAGGCGCTGGGAATTGCTCACTTCCGGTAGATTTTAGGCCAAGCTCGTTTCTGAGCTTGAGTATTCCTACTAAGATCAACGAAACCGGGATCAGGGTCGACCTGAGGACTGCGAGCCTTGACTGTCTTGTTGAAGGTCCCAGGTCCACCCTGCAGTTAGCTCCTCGAATCCCAGAAAGCAACAGTCGTCCCGCCGCGGCGAAAGGAAGTTCTTTGCCCCGAGACTAACAGCTTCAAAGTCCCGCACAAGTTCCTTCTCGCCTTCAAAGGCTTGGCTGCTCCAATGCCTCGCCCCTTCCTCCAGGGTCGGTGGGTGGCGGAGAGCGCTCTGGGGGGCTGGGAGGGCGGGAGCTGGGTTCCTCTCAAGGCTCTCTGCCCCAGAAGCAGGTTCCAGCGCCCGCATCTAAGGGACTGGGCAGTCTTGGTGCAGCTTCGAGACACCTTTCAGCCCTCCAGCAATGCCGCTCCAGGTGTATAATAAGGCCGGTTCTGCCTAGAGAAAAAGACGGGACTCAGAGAAAAGCCTCCGGGCGCGGGAGGCTTGCACGGTCCCCCTGCCCCGAGCCTAGGCTGATCACCCAAGAAGTCGCGCCTCGTTTGGGATTAGGTTGCTGAACTGGAGCGCATCCTTCTCGGGTGTCTCCCAAATTGGATCGGGTAACTTTGCTTCTCTTTCGAAAGCCTCCAGCCGCGATAATTGCCCGGCCCAAATCGGGCTCTGGAGGAGGACACCGGCACCTGCTCAAGTCCACGAGGACGCGTAGTGCAGGAAAAGGGAACGGGGGAGGGTGGGGAACCAGCCTGCCGATGTGAGGACGGAGACAGCCCTGCTCCGGTGGGGCGGAGGAGGATCCCTGTGGCCACAAATACTCAGCAAAGTGTGGCTGGAAGACCCGCTGCAGCCACAAGCGAGAGTGAGCGGAGATGCGTGAGGCCTCGGCCAGGGCCGAAAGGGGGCATCTTCTTCCCGCGGAGCTCTAGCACTTCCCTCCGCAGGCTAAGACGGGGCGGCGCGGCACAACTCCCCGCTATAAAAGGCGGCGAGCGCGTCCCTTCGATCTCCGGGAGACGCTCCACTGCGACGGATTCCCGGCCTGGCTGGCTGAAGACGCGACCTCGAGCGCAAACGAAGATGCGTCCCGCGAAGAGGCTGAGGTTCCGGTTCTCCTCGCCGCAGCTGCTGCTGCTGCTGCTCTGGGCCGCCCCGCGACCTTGCGCAGCGGGCGACGAGGAGGAGGAGGACGCAGGTGGGTGAGAGGCTGCGGTGGCGACGGTAGAATCCCCCTCCGGGGCTTCGTTTTGGGCCATCAGCTCCACCTATTGTTTCAACGGCAGCCGCCGGCAGGACTGCTCCGATTTGGGGCAAGGTCTTTCCCGCAACACCCCTCCGTCAGTCCGCTCAGTGGGGATGCGATAGGGGAGACCGACCCGCTCCGTCCGAAGAAGCCCTAGAAAATTCCTCCGGCTGGAAATGAGGGTTGTCGCTGAGCAGTACCAATGGCAAGCGGGAGTGGGCAACTTCCTGGGCACCAGAATGCCCTTGGCTGCCCACCTTTCCCGGCGGTTCTGGAGCAAAGTTTAGCGTTTTAAGTGGGCCGCGCACACCAACGCAAACGGCGATAGCCGTGAGGGCGCCAAAGGCTCTCGGCACAGAAGGGTCCCTCGCTAAAATATCCTTGGTGAGGGGGGGGGGGCGTCGCCTGCCTCTTGCTTGGAGCGAAGGGTTGCCCAGGAGCACTGGCTTTGGCGCCCCCCCCCCCAGCTCTCAGGATTTTCAGCTGCCACGAATACCAAGGGCCTGTTTTCTCGTGCGTGTGTTTTCTCTGAAACAGAAAGCTTTTCTCTTTGGCTTGTACCTCTGAGGAGTTCAGCCCCTGAGGTGCAGAATGCAGGTGGCCATTTGGCCATTTGGTTTGTGCAGCTTTTCTTCCCGTTAGGAGCTTCCCTCTCCATTTCCAGGTCTATATCCAAGTCTTGGAGCAGATACCACCCCTTTCCCTGCTGGGTAACCAAAACGAGGGTCTTTTATCTAGCAACCTCCTCCAATTAGTTATGTTGCTGAGTATGTCCTTGGCTGGGAGGCAGGCCCTCCACTCAGCTATTCAACTTAGAGGACTTCCTCTGAGACAGATTAAGTAGGGAATCGAAGTACAGGACAGTTGCATACATCCCGTAGTTGTTCAAAAGTAACTCTTGTTGTATTATGGAGGTTCTTTGAGTTAAGTTTGGGATTGCAGATGTTCCTACAGGGTAACGTCCTTAGTGCAGGAGTTTTGAAAGCAATACTATTAAGCTCCAGGTAAACAGGTGTAGAATTGCAGCCTAAAGACTTAATTGCAGAGTAAAATGTTCTCCCCACCATGGCTAATTGGTGGGGCTGGTTCTGAAGGGCTCACTGCCATTAGGTGAACCAGCCCTCTTGAGAAGGCTCAGCACAGGCCTTTCCTTCCGATTTCATCTCTATGCTGATCAGGGGGATGGTGGAGCTGCGCTTGGATTGGCCTAGGTTGAAAAAGAAGCTGCTTGATGGGGTTTCAGTGGCCTAGTTAGGGTGGCCCCAAAGAAGCTGGGAGAGCCCTTTCCAAGCTCTTTCCTCGGGAGACAATATTAGGAGTCTTTCAGGTGAGGCGCCCCTTTTTTAAAGGGTCCCTGTGTCCACCCAGGATTGAGGCGCTTTTCTCTTGGGCGGTTGGACAACCATGGCAGCTCCATGTTGTGCCAGGTCTCCTCTCTTGACCATCCCAGAAATCATGGAAGATCACCCCTCCCCCCCCTTAGGATGCCGGGCTTCTGGGTGTCTCACGTACTCTCCGTGGCTGTGTTAAGACACGTGGCCTTCCACTGAGCTCTTGTCCACTCAGGAGCTCCTAAGTAGATCCCTTCCCCCACTTTCTTGTACAGTTCAGTCACAGAACAGGCCACGGAGTCCCAGTGGAGCTCTGTTAAGACCAAGTTGGGGGGAAGGACATTGCGGTAGAAAGAAAAATCCCGGTGGGTGGGTCCTGAAGTGGAGCCCCTCCAAATTTTGGCCACCTCATGTCAACATGGGGGCCCCCTGCCCCCAGGTGGAAAAGGAGAGGTTGACCGTCTGCAGGGCTCTGAGTCTGTCACTAAAGAGGCTAAAGGAGCAAGGGGTGGCTGCAGCCCTCTGTCGCCTCCCCCCTCCCCCCTGAGCACAGGAAGAACCTTGCAAGAAATTGCTCTCTTGCCCCCTCCCCCTGCTTAGAACACCACTGCCAGAAGAGGACTGTCTCCATCCCGAGTTGCTTGGTGTAGTTAGTAGAAGGTGGCACAAAACAGCTCCTCAAGGTAGCTCTGATTTCTGAGCTCAAGGGGGAAGAAGCTGCCTCTCTTCCCTGGTGAGCCTCCCATTCCCCCAACCAACCTCATTCCTTTGCAGCCCCTGCCCTACGGAAGGCCCCCTGACAGACTCCCACCCTTTCCACACTGAAGACCTGGCTCCTTCCCTAAGCATTGTGATGGGGAGAGGGGAGACTCTGGGAAGGGGGGCTGTGGTGCCAGTTCTCCTTCTCTTTTATTGGGGTTTTTTTGGGGGGGTGGGGGGGTGTTTTATTCCTGTTTGTAAGACACCCAGAGTTTGGTTTAGATTTGCAAATGTTATAAATAAATAAATAAATCCTGGGGTGCCTCCCACATGTCCCATGGGAGGAGGGGGAGATCTCGAGGGCTGCCCACCTGGCTCCCTAACCTTCTTGGCTGGCAGCTCTTCTCTTCCTGGGGCAGCCAGGAGATGTTCTGGTGGGGGGGGGGGGTTGCACAGCTGCTCACAGATCAGCCTAGCCTTTCAGCTGAGTCGCAGTGCACAATGGTCCTTCCTGATTCATGCATTTTTAGGACACCCAAGGATGGTGCCTCCACGTAATAACTCACCAAGGCTATTTTTGCCAGCAAAAGTTTCAAGGTGGAGCTGGCAGAAAGGCTGCCCAGCTATTGGAGACTGTCTGTCTGAAAGCCTTCTAAGTCCCATAGCGGACAATCCTGCCTTCTTCTAGGGAAAACAACAGTCATGGTGCAAAAAAAAAAAAGGGGGGGGGTCCTTTTCCATGGAATTGGTATTTTATTTATTTCTTTACATGATTAAACTGCAGGATCAGGTCAAGATCCCTCCGAGCCTGGCTCGCCCAGGGGCACTGGGGGCTTTGCAAGCAGAAGTCTGGAGACACAGCCCCTTCCTGCCACCTGCTGTCGGGCAACTAGGGCTGGAGGGAGGTTGCCCCCACCTGGAGGTGGCATTGAGTCTTCCAAGCCCCTTGTCCATAGATTTCTTTAGCCCCCTCCCCACTTTAAAGTCATCAAAATGTGTGGCCATCTCTACATCTTACGGCAATGGCTTGCCAGCTTTATTATGCAGAGGATGGGGATGTATAGTTGCAATTTCCTCATTACATACTGCACAGGATTTCAACCCCACCCCAACCACAGCCATTTGCAGAAATCGGCTTGGATGGGGCAGCAGCATAAAGCCTTTGTCTCTGGCAGCCAGTGCCTAGGTGGAAGCAGCCCCGAGTCTTTTGAGAGGCAAAGATCTGTCCAAAGCAGAAGGCGGTTTAGACTGGCGTTTCCTTTAGGTGGCTCCAATGCAATCTGATGACTTCTCTGGGGTCACCAGGGGAACCTGTGGGAGGCAGGTGCCCTATCTCTTCAGCCCACCATCCGACCTCTGGCTCGGGCTGTCATTCAAGGCAGAGAGAGAGAGAGAGAGAGAGAGAGAGAGAGGGAGGGAGAGAGAGAGAGAGAGAGAGAGAAAAGAGAGAGAGAGAGAATCAACCACGCTGTTCCCCATGTCAGAATTAAAATAGAGTGGGTGGGGGAAGGGCGAGGAGGACCTCCCCCTTTTGCTTTTGTGGGGAGGAAATGGTGGGAGCAGCAACTTGAGTCAGGTTCTCTTATTTGCTTCCCAGGTGTTCCGGGGCACAAAGACCATCACTGGAGCTACAAAGGTAAAGGCCTGATTTGGCTCCCCTGGGCCCCTGGCCAGGTGACTACTGGTTAATGATCAACTAGCTCTGGTCACACCTGCCACTGGTCTTCTCAGGCTCTACTGAGTACCTGGGCCTCAAGTTGTAGCAGCAGGGAAGGCCCCTCCCTTGCCTGCCCTCCCCTCCCACAGCCCTACCTTAGCCATTGCAGCTCATTATTATTCCTGCCCACATTCCTCCCTGCAGCAGAGGCAATAAGAGCTGTCCTTGTACTGACACCCCCTCCTCCCCTGCCCAAGGGCATCTGACTGCATTCCATGGGTAGCTTCCTCCTCCCTCCTGCCTGCCCAGCCCAGAGCTGTTGCCCACCTGCATTTACAGGCTGGAGGTGAGCCTCCTGGCCTCTACCCAGATCGACCCCAAGATCCGGCTGCTTTGCAGGCACCGTAGTCTGGAGGAACCAGCTACTTCCCAGATTCAGCCAGTTCATGCAGCAATTGAGAGGCAGCTGGTCAGCGTTTTAAAGCCAGAGTCAGGAAGACGTGTGTGACGTCTCCACCCCAGAAAAACCACCTGAAGTGCCCGTAGTGTCCTTCTGGCTCTATCCTGCATTTTCTGGAAGAGCAGCAGAAGTGAGGCTGACCAAGCTCCACTTTTCCTCCTTGTCCAAGCTTTCTCCATTTTCCTAACCCCCCACCCAACATTCCCCGCCCTCTGAGGCAGATAAATGGCTCTGCAGCCCCTGAAGCGTGTTCTTCTCTTTCAGACATGCCAGAGTGGGCATCCATGTTCCCCGACTGTGAGGGTCACCTGCAGTCTCCCATCAACATCAACACAGCTGCTATCAGCTTCAGCGCCAAGCTGGAGCCCCTGCTACTGTCTGGCTACGATCTGCCTCCCGAAGAGACGCTTCCCCTGAAGAACAATGGCCACACCGGTGAGCATCACGGGGCTGCAGAGGATCAGCTGGGTGTAGCGTCCCCGGAAGCTCGAAGCAGGTGACCAGGCTGGTTCCTCCTTCAGAGTTCTTCCTGCTTCCTCGGACAAGGGCCACCTCTTGGCCTTCCTTCTCTCAGGACTGGGCTTCTTGTGGCACAGGGAAAACAGATTGTGCCTGGTGCCAGGTTTCGGCTTGGCTTTTTTTTTTAATTAATTTTTTTTTTTTACTACATAAAGAAAGAGCAACAGTTTCAATGTCTTAATAATAATGATGATGATGTTCATTAGTGGTGATCATGTAATAAGTATTTTCTCAACATATTAATAGTTAATTATTAAATCATAATCATAATAATAAACATATCATAATAAACCCTCATGGTAAAATTAATTCTTCTCTCATAATTTTAAATATTCTAACTTCTGTTTCTGTTATTTAACCATTGATAAAATGAATCCCATGTTTCAAAATATTCTGTATCTTCCTTTTCTTTAATTTCAAGTGTTAATCTATCCATTTCTGCACATTCTAGGTTTTTTTTTTTTAAATGATCTCTTCTGTAGGGATCTCCGCATCTTTCCAATGTTGTGCAAATACAATTCTGGCTGCTGCTAACACATGTAATATTAGATACATAGTCCCTTTGTTATGTTTTTCTGGTACGATACCCAACAGAAATATTTCTGATTTTAAATCTATAGGTTCCTTTATCATTTTTTCTATCCAAGTGTGTAGTTTTCTCCAGTATGTTTTGCTTTTGGGCACGTCCACCTAATGTGGTAGTATGAGCCTGGAGCTTGATTGCACTTCCAACATTTAACTGACATATCTTTAAACATCTTGGCTAATCTTGCTGGTGGGAAGTGCCATCTGTAAAACATCTTATATCAATTTTCTTTGTATGCAGTAGACATTGTTAATTTATAATTTCGATCCCACAACTTTTGCCATTTATCCAATTCTATAGAATAACAAAGTTTTTAGCCCACACTATCATTTTTTCCTTTACTTGCTCTTCTTCCATTCTAATACTCAGTGGGTAGGTATAAATATTTTAAATTAATTTTTCATCAGTTCCTGTTAGACTCTGGTCCAAATCTGTTGATTCTTTATAAAAAAATTAGCATCTTTTTCATATCTTGATTGTATTTGTACCTGCAGCCAGGGGTGAAATTCAACCACCTCGCCCCTGGCTCGGGAGAGATGGTAGGGACGATTTGAATCGGTAAAAAATCACGCCTGGTTGCTATTACTATTATACCAAGCCATGCCCACAGCCACGCCCACAGAGCCGGTAGGGGAAAATGTTGAATTTCACCCCTGCCTGCAGCCCCCATGCTAAATCTATCCCTTGACTATTCAGTTTACTTTTCAATTCCCCTTTCTCATTCAAAATATATTTATATGTTATGATTTTTTCCATATCAACCACATTTAGATGTATGAATGCCTCCATTGTAGAGAGCCAGACTGGTATTTTCAAATAGTGTTTTTCCTTAATTTTTACCCTTACTGAAAACAGAACATTTCTAATGTAATGTCTTTGGAAATGTGTATTTTATTTTTCCCATACCATAGAAAGGGGTGACACCCCAATTGCAAGTCGTGACCCTCCAAAGTTAATAATTGTCTATGTCTCAGGGTTATCCATTCTTTTTGCCACATAACTGCAGATGCTGGGTAATATAACTCCCAATCTGGCAGCCCAAAGCCTCCTCTATTATTAGAGTCTTGTAACAGTTTCAGACTTATTCTTGCTTTTTTACTTCGCCAAATAAATTTTGATACTAATCTATTTAATTCCTCTAAGTATTTCTTTTCCAGCTTTATTGGAATTGTTTGGAATGGGTATAGTAATCTTGGTAGAGTATTCATTTTAATGGTAGCTTCCTATTAGTGATAGCTGCAAGTTTTCCCATTTTTCCAAGTCAAGTTTAATTTGCTGTATCAATTTATCATAATTATCTTCTTTTATAGTTGCACATCTCGCTGATAGATGAATACCCAGATACGTTACTTTTACTTGGCTTGGCTTTTGAGTCTACTCTGCCCTTGCCCTTGCCCCATGGAGGGTCCCTGACAATGACGCCCAAACTCCAGGGTCAAATTTCTCCCAGATCACCTACAGGATCCTTCCATATTAGAGGAATTAGAAAGAGATTTGTGAGGTTGTTGCATGCAAGCAAACAGGTGAACTTGCCTGGTAGGCTGGTCCACTTAAGGAGAGGACTGTGGGGAGCTTGGTGCTCTCTGAACTTGGATGTTTTCTTGCAGATGTTTTTACTACCAAACTAGGTAACATCATCAGTGCTCAAATAGCGTTACCTAGTTTGACTTCTGGTTTGCAAGGCTTCGGCGGTGGCAGGAATTCGCGATCGTACGCGGTTTCTGCTGCGCTCGCCGCTGGAGTGCCCCCGATCCAGACGGATTTTGTGGCTAATAGTTACCCTGTAGAGGTAACTGAAGACAGGGGAGATCCGGCAGGGGTCCGGGAGAATCACAACCCCCCTCCTCAGCTGGCTTAACTCCCTTTTCCAAAAGCGGTGGAGTGGTGGTCAGCAATGGCCGCCACAAAGAAGCTTTCATCAGGATAAGAATGTGCAGGAAGAAGCTTGAGAAGTGAAAGTTTTTGGCTGACCGGGATAATAAGTAACATTTAAATACCCTGGAATTTAAACTTCATTAAAGATACATTGTTCCCAGAGAAGATCGGAAAAGGCGGCAGATGAAAGTTAAAAGGGAAAGTTTGTTTTTTCTCACTCTCCTTCCTTATGGTGATAGCAGATGGAAATCGGAAAAACCCGTTTTGGCATCAGCAGGTAATTAAATTTGAAAATTAAAGCCAAGGGGACATTAAAGATTTCTGAACATTGGAGAAAAAAAAACACACCTTTTTTGCTATAAGTGGGAAGGGAGAGGAAAAGAATTAATATTAAGATTTTGCTGGAGAAGGCTGCTTGAAACTTATAAGACTAGAGTTAAATTGTAACAAGACTTCTAAAAGATATATTTTGGAACTTTGCAACTGAACTGTAACCCCAAGAAGAGAAAGTATAAAAAGAACAAAGTGCTAAATGAAACAGACTGTGTGTATTTGGATTGCTTGGTGACTTTGGGACCTTTGGAAACTATTATTTGAAAGACTAAAAACATTTGGGTTGTTTATAATTTTTTTTCACAATGGCATTACTTGTTGATGAACTGAAAATGGAATTTAAAAAGCTAAAAGAAGAGGAACAAGAAGGGAAGGGCTCTTCTGGATCTGTTTTTCATTTCTTAGAAATGGCGATTTCTACCTATCAGAAACTACAAGAACTACAAGAAGATTGGGATGAAGAAGAAGCCATCTTTAATGAACAAGCAACACTAGCTGGGGAAGAAAAGGGAAAGAGAGGAAAGAAAATGGAGAATTTAAGACTTAAAAAAACAACCAAAAAAGGGAAAAATAAGATGAAAAATCAATACAATGTCAGAAAGCAACAGAAAAGAGGAATACAGAAGAGGGTGGAGATTAAGAGGGTGGAGATCAAGAGAAAAGGGGGTAAAAAGGCTAGATTGGAGGAGAAAGGAAGGAAAAAAGGGAAAAAGTTACAAAGATTTGAAACAAGATGTAAAGAAACAGGATTTATTCAGAGATAATGGGTAAAAATATAATTAAAAAAGAGATTCTGCAAAAGTACATAAGATTGTATTGTTGTATTTGTATTTGAAATAATGTTAGAAAACTGGAACATTATATGATTATAAAATGGGATAAAATATTAAAAGGAATGTGTAAAATGCTTAAGATTTAACGATAGAGTTTAATTTGCTATGGATTATTGTTCTATTTATATTATAAACTTATTATCTTCCTATTTTAAAATATAGTACGTAGCTTTAGAATGTACTAAGCAGAATCAGAATGAAAATTATATATTATTTTAAGTGTTAAATTTAGGGGAAAGATATAAAGGCGTCATACTTCAATCAGTGATTACAGGAGAAATTTTGTGTTAATGAGAAATAATAGATAATTGAAATAGAACAGACAAAAGATACAAGCATAATGGTTTAAACTGAGATGAAATAAATAAAATAGAATTAAGAGAATGAAAAGAGGGGAGAAGCTATATAAAAAATGTAGAATAGTAAATAAAATATGAAATGGTATATAAAGTGAGCATGAATTTGATTTATGTCTGTATACAAAGATGTAACCCGGGACTAAGCCGCTTTCCAAAAAGAAGTTTTATGTTTTCATGTTTTGTGTTTTGTTTGTGTATGTTTGTTTATTGAAAATTAATAAAAAATTTATTAAAAAAAATAGTGTTACCTAGTTTGGTAAAGTCTGCAAGAAAACATCCAAGCTCTGAGTGCAACAATGAACCTGAGCTACAAATACTCTCTTCTCTCATTAAGATGGGGCTCTCAAGCAGAAAGACAGTGGGACTTATCCAGAAGTGGCTGCAGTCAGGCAGGGTCACTTACATCGCAGGGTACAGGGTGGGGCTCTGACTGCACAGCTATCACTGCCATCCTTTAAAAAAAAAAAATTATAAGCACCAGCTCCAAGCACCCCTGGTCACTCTTCCAGTTTGTTTGTTTGTTTGTTTGTTTACATTTATTTTTATTTGTAAAATGTATTAGTCACCCATCTTTGTGTTTGATGGTCTCTTCTTCCGATTCCCACAGCTGCCCATAACTAAGTGATGGTGTTTAGTTGGCTCTGAAATAAAGCCAGAAGAGTCTGCTCTGGCAACTGCTAATTAATTTCACAGTTAAACAAACATGAACATTCTGTTAAAGAAAGAAAAAGGAAAATGCTCCATCCATAATATGTGGGAGCAATAACAGAATACCAGAGTTGGAAGGGACCATGGAGGTCACCTAGTCCAACCCCCTGCTCAAGCAGGAGATCCTATACCTTTTCAGACAAATGGCTGTACAGTCTCTTCTTAAAAGCCTCCAGTGTTGGAACACCTGTTCTCCTTTGATTCTCACTGTCAGGAAATTCT